GGGGAGAGGAGGTAGTGGAGAAAGAAGACGATGAGGTGCATAGGTTCCCCGGCCGAGAAAAGGGTGGATATCCTCTTTTTTTCCCTCTCTCTCCCCCCCCCCCCTCGCGCCCCTCTGTGGGTGCCTTCGTTAGCAGGCAGTTGCTTCCGTCCACCGCCTGCCTGGGACTGCGGGCAGACGGGGGGCGGAGACAGACAGGTCGCGAGATCGACGCGCGCGACGCGGCAACCGCGGAGCAACCAGGCAAGCGGGCCCCCTTTCTTGTGCGGGCTAATTAGTGCACACAGCGCCCCGGGGGGCCCCAGTGGGGATGGCTGGGGCGGCGGCCAGGACAGAGCGCCGCGTCGGGCGGGCCCCAGGAAGATTGCCAGCCCCGGCTGACCGCTCGCGCACATGTGTGCGTGTACTTCCCCCCCCCCCCCCCCGGCGCACGGGTGTCTGCGCGTGCGCGTAGCCGAGTCGTCCTGGCGCCTCATTTGGTCCCGGGCGCCGGCCTTCTCCGGGCTGACTCCGAGGCAGGCCACTCCGGGGCGATCTGCGCGCGCGCCCCGGCGTGCGGGGCCGTCCCCCCGGTAGAAAGAACATAACAATAACAGCGACAACAACAATAACAACAATGGTTCGTAACGCCCCCGTGGTCGGCTCCTGCGAAGGGGATGATGGCGCTCACGCGCGCCCGCTCGCCCGCGCGTGCGTGAGCGCCCCCGGGGCCTCTTGAGTCGCCCGCCCCTCGGACAGAGCAGACCCCTCAGCCGGGGGGGGGGGGGGGGAGGAGGGGCGATGGCTTCCCACCGGCACTGGGCCCCTGATTCATCGGGCGGTTCGTCTTCGGTGCTCGCCCCCCGCCCCGGCCCTTCCACAACCGGGGCCTGGGGTGTGGGGCCTGTCCCCGGCTGGGGGCACTCGCTGAACGGGGGCCCTTTTCCCCTGGGGCCGATTGCTTCAGGAGCCCGGCCCGCCGGCTGGCCGCGCCCCCCCCCCCCCGTCGGACCGCCTGGCCTTCGGGGCAGCAGGTCCAACTCTCCGGGCCAGACCGGCCGGCCGGCCGGCGAGCAGCATGTGTCGCCTTTGCTCGCCGCGAAGCGCGGAAGCCACCCCGGTGGTTCTGGATCGCCGCCTTAAAAATGGCGCGACTGAAAAGGTAGAACGCCCCCGACCGGCTGACGCGGTTCGGTGTAGCCCACGGCTTGGCAGGCGGCGTGTTGAAGTCCCTCCGTCGGGGCCGGGGGGAAGGGGGTGGTCGACACTTTTTCTCGGGTCACCGCGTGCGGAACCGAGTGGCGGCATTTTCCCTCGAGAGAGACAGGACCCGGGGCGGGGGGCCGGGCCACGGACACCGGGGTCGGTGCTGGGCCGGTCGGCCATCGAGGCCTCGGGGGCCTGGGGTATGCACATGCCGGATCGCATGTTTCGGCCAGCACACGCCAGCCCGCCAAATATGAGATGTTGGGGGGGGGGGGGGGGGCGCAGGTTTGTGCTCGCGCCTGCGGACACTGCGCCAGATAGCCGTCGGTGCCGTGCCCGTCGGGACACGCCGCCCCAACCGCCCGGCGACCGGCACGCACACATTCACACACATAGACACATGCACACTCTTGTTCCCTGCCCTTGGTTCCCGCCGCCTGCTTGCCGGCAGAGCCATTCATTCCCTCGGGGTCATGCGGGTCGGTCAGGAACCCCCCCCTCCGCCCTCCAGCTCTGGGAGAATACAAGATGGTCAGGCCGGATGTGTCCACGGCTCTCCGGGTGGGCTATCCGTGGGAGCGGTGCATCAAAGGTTGCCCTCGAGCGAACACGGTAGCCGCCAACACGACCTCCTGGCACCGCGGTCGGTGCAGAAGCCTTCGGAGATTATTACACTCACGCGCGACGACGTCACGGGACCCCACTGTCCTCCTCCCTCAAAGTGCCCATGCACCGCCCGCGCTGGCCTTTTCCCGCTGATCTCCGCGTGCCTGCCGCGCGCGCATGGGGGCAACTCTTCACGGGACGGCACATGCCAGCGCTCGCGCCGACCGCTCTCAGCATCCTCCACACTCACAAACACCTGTGCTCCCGCGTGTGCACGCCCGAAAGGACGGCCGAGGGGCCGGAGCAATCTGGGCGCGCCGCGGTCGCACTCCCATGCGTCCCGGGTGCCCCCGGCAGGCCGGCAGACCATTCACGGCCAAGAGACCCCTCCCCGGAGACCCGCCGTTCCCCTCTCCCCGGGCGGCATCCAGTCCCTCTCCTCACATCCCTCCCTCCCCGTCTCTCCCACCCCCTCCCTCCCCCCCCCTCCTCCGACCCCCTGCCCCCTCTCACTTCCCCTCACGCACTCGCACGTCTCTCCTCCTCACCATGACCAAGCGCGCGCACGAGTCGGACCTCTCGCTTCCGAACCCCAAGCGTCTGCATCTCGACGGTGCGGTGGCCGCGCAAGCGACCCCCGCGGCGGAGGGTGCCGCCACCGAGGACGCCGCGCCCCCTGCCCCGGAGAATGTCCTCTCCGCCGCCGAGGCGCTGGCCACCCTGGAGAAGTGGTTCACCGAGGTGGGCATCTCCTACAACCGCGAGGCCATCGAGCTGGTGACCGGCTACCGCGGGACCGGCTACGGCGCGGCAGTCATCTCCAAGCGTCCGATCACCATCGGCGAGACGGGTGCGTCCCTGCCACGTTTGTGCTCTCCTGCTTTGTCCTTGTTTGGCGCTAACCCCCCCCCCCCCCCCTGCCCTACGACCTCCACCGCCCTGCCACACGCACACGCACACGCACACGCACACGCACACGCACACGCACACGCCGCCACTCAGTCTGCACCATCCCCAAGGACGCCTGTCTGACCCCGGTCACCACCGCCTTCGCGGCTGCCCTGAAGAGCCAACAAATCCCCAATATCCTGGCCACCACGGTGGCACTCATGTACGAGCAGTACCTCGGCGAAAAGTGCGTCCCCCTCCCCCGCCCCCCCCCCCTTGTCTCCCTTCATGCGCCTCCGATCCGGCCACCAAACTGACGCCCCTCCGTCGCGGCTGCCGGCAGGTCCAAGTGGTTCGGCTACCTCAAGTCCCTGCCCGCCTTCGAGCCGGTCTACGGGCTTTGGACCTCGGAGGAGCGCGACCTGGCCAAGGGCACCGAGCTCTTCCAGGAGTTCCCTAATGAGCGTGTGCGTGCATCTCTTCGCCATCCTCCCTTTCTCGCGCATCCCCCGCCCCCCCCCCCCCCCCCCCCCCGTGTTGCTCCGAGGCTCACCTCCTCCTCCTCCTCCCGGGGCCGCCCTCCCCACCGCTTCAGCGTGACAACCGCGACGAGTTCATCGAGGTCGTCCGGCCTCTGATGAAGAAGAATGCCCAGAAGTTCGGCTACGACCACAAGTGGTTCTCCTGGGAGCGCTTCTGCCACGCCCAGTCGCTGGTCTCCTCGCGCGCCTTCTTCGTGGACAATCTCCATGGCAGCGGCATGGTCCCCTTCGCCGACATGTACGTCCAGCTGTGCCGGCTGCTTGGGGCTTGGGTCCTCCTCGCCTGCATGCATGCTCACCCGGCCCGTTCGTCGGCCCCCTGTCCCTGGCTCCTGCGCGCAGCTTCAACCACCTTAGCGAGGAGCTGGAGCACGTCCACATCGAGGGCCTGAACCCGCCCTGCCCGGATTGCGGCAGCACCAAGAGCTGCGCGCATCTGGACCGGCACCTGATCGACGGCGGCGAGGAGTCGGACTCTGACGACTCGGATTCCGACGACGAGGAGGCCCCCATGCCGACGGCCGGCCCGGACGGCAGCGCCAACTTCCAGGTGCGTGTCGGCAAGACCGGCACCATCAATCTCAAGAGCACGGTCCTGGCCGAGGCCGAGCTCAACGACAAGGAGGAGTCCTTCTTTGATGACGCGGAGTTCGGCGCCGCCATTGAGGCGGCGTCGGCCATCTCGGCCGGGGCGGTGGCCGCCCCGGTGCCCAACGACCGGGCCTCTGCCAAGTCGAATGCCCGGGCAACCACCGGGGCCCCGGGGGACCTGGCCAGCGACCCGGATGACCACACCTCGCTCAGCATCACGGTCGTGCGGCCGGTCCACCGGGCCGGTGTGGAGATGTTCAATGTCTACGGTGTCCATGCCAATGGCGGGCTCCTGAGCAAGTTCGGCTTTGCCGAGTGGGCCAAGCCGGGCAGCGATCCCTCCGACCGGTCGGTGGTCAATGTGGACCTGGTGGCCGTACTGCGCCACTTCAAGAACACCCTGCCGGAGGCGTCCTTCGCCCGGCGGGCGGCCATCTTCAAGCGCCACCGCGAGCACTTCGCCTCCATGTCCTACTACGAGCTCCGGGGTCCGGGGCTGGTGGATGTGGAGCTGATCCGGACCATTGCCCTGTTCTCCCTGCCCGAGGACCACCCGCTGGTGGCCCCGCCGGCGCCCCCCCGGCGCCAGATGTTTACCCATCGCAAGCCCAAGGTCAAGCTGAGCGAGCGTGGCCAGCGCATGGCCGAGGAGCGTCGGAAGCGTGCCGAAGCCGAGCTCGAGCTCAACCGCGTGGTGGATCTCATTTCGTCCATGACCTACGAGCGCCTGGCCGGGCTGGACCTGCCGAAGGAGGGCCACACCCACTCGGCCTCCTGCTCGCATGGCGCCGGCCACCAGGCCAAGGCCCCTGCTGACACCGAGGAGGCCGACGCGAGCAGCGACCTCGAGGAGGAGCCCACCGACATGGCCGAGGCCGACGAGGACGAGGACGAGGAGGCCGTCATCTCCATGGACCCGATCCCGCTGGCGCATGTGCCGTTCTGGCACCGGGAGGTGCTGGTGGCCCTGCTGACCGCCCGGCTGGCCCAGTACGGCGAGCCCAGCGCGGCGGCCGTGCGCGAGCGCCTGGTCCAGCCGTACGAGCAGCCGGACCCCACCGACTTGGACGCCTTTTCGGTGGAGCACTCGTCTGTGTGGCTGCACGCGAAGCCCGTGGCCGGCGTGTCGGCGGCCGAGTTCTTCGCTGGTGCTCTGGTGTATGATGAGATGCATCTGCTGGAGGTGATGATCGCCAGCCTGTCGGCCTTGCCCGCGGTGGATACTGACTCGGACTAGAGCCCCGGGCTGGCTGCACCTTCGCCCCTGCCCGCGGCGTGTCCTCTCGCCTTTGTCGGCATTCCCATGTCCTCCATCTTTCCGATCACGCCTCCCCCCTCTCCCCGGATGCGCGGTGTGCGCGAGTCGGCATTTCCGCTGCCCTTCGCCGGGATGGATTTGTCATTCCCGACATTGTTCCCAATAGAATGTGTGCCTCCTTTGTGGCCCCCCCCCCCCCCTCCTGGACATGGACGTCGGTGAATGTGTGAGGTAGTCTATACGGGCGGATGGCTATGCCCAGGAGTTGGCCGGCCGCGTATCGCATCAGCCCCGCAGTTTGACATTGGCCAGGGAGGCGCCGATGCAGGCCGGGCAGGCGGAATGCACAGAGAAGGGGCCGCCGATGCCGGCGCGGCCGCCAAGTCCGGCCAGTCCTCCAGGGCGCACTCCGGGCACTGGCCACTCGGATAGAGCCTCCGAGGCGATGGACACATCGCTGTCGGCCACGGCCAGGACCGTCGAGTGGGGAACCGCTGCCAAACGATGCAGCGGGTCCACCAGCGCCGCGGCAAAGGCCGCCGGCCCGGTGACCGGGCCCATTGAGCTGGGCGTATGAGGCCCCGGGCTTCGAGCCCCGGTCAGCATGGACAGCCGGTACTCCAGCCCGGGGAGGGCCACCGAGCGCAGATGCCCCTGCGGGACATGGTGCCCGCATGAAAAGAGCACCATCAAGTCCCCGGAGCCAGGGGCACCGGTGGGCGAGTGCAGCGGCGACAGGGTCCCGGCATGCGAAGGACCGGGGTCCCCTCCGGCGGCCAGCGCCGGATTGAAGAGGATGAACCGCGGGCAGTCGGCCGTCCGTCCCAGGTGGACCTGGAGGACGGGGGGAATGTTTCAGCGGGGGCAGGCGGGGAGCGAGGCGAGCATGCGTGCGTGCGTGCGTGCGTGCGTGCGTGCGTGTGTGCGTGTGTGTGTGTGTGTGTGGGAGGGGGGGGAGGAACGGGGGAGGGGCGGAGAGAGGCAGAAAAAGGGGTCAGACAGGCTGCCATCGGCCCGGCATAGATGGACAGGACGGGCCGGCACGGGCAGACAGAACGAGGTCAACGCACAAGGATGCTTTCGAAGATCTGCTGGCCAAAGATGCGCTTGCCCTCGACCGACGCCAGGCGGGTTTCTTTTGCCGACGCGTGGACAGGGAACAGAGGCCCGAGAGGGGGATGGGGAGTCAGGGTGACATGGTGCGGGGCAAGAGCAGGAGGGGCAGAAGGCGGGCAAAGGAGAGACGAGCAAGGAGAACCGGCTGACAGCGGGGCCAGCGAGCGCACCGCCTTGCTCCTGGCGCTGGTGGGCGAAGGCGAAGCGGCCCACGCGCACAAGCGTCCCCGGGGCCGCACGCTGGCAGTACGCCCGGCAGGCATCCACACACAGGCGCCGAGTGTCCGGATTCGGCAAGAGGCTGCCCAGGGCCGACTCGAAGTCTTGAGGTGTCGACAGGAGGAAGAGCGAAAGCAGGGCCGTCAGCAGGGGGGCGAAGAGCCCCGGTGCATCCGGCGATTCGGCCAGCTCCAGCAACTGGCGAACGATCGCATCCAGCACCGGCGTGCTGGCCACATCCAGACTGCGCCAGTGCATGAAAAGCTGTACAGGCCCCAGGGGAGCCCCCCGGGCGAGGTCAGTCATTCGGGAGGAAGGGAATCCACGGCCGGGCTCTGGGTCCGGGTAGGCGAGCGTGGGCGCACCATGCAAAGGAGCAGGCAGAATGCCTGGAGACAGACGGCACGCGAGGCGGGCGTCACGGCCGCGGCGGTGGTCGTCTCGAACTTTTGGAACAGCAGCCGCGTGTATTCGATGAACAGCCGGCCGGCTGCCAGGACGAATGGCGTGGATGGGCCCCACGGCCGCCAGCACGAAAGGCACATATTGTCAGTGTGGGAGGGCGGGGGGAGGGGGGGGGGGCGAGAGGGGGGGGCGGGGGGGGAGGGGGGGGGGGGGGGGGGGGGGGGGGGGGAGAGCAGAATGTTGGCAGGCGAAAAGGGGAAAACCCCCGAGCAAGGAGGTCACGCACAGCTCTCCGGCGTCCGGCATAGGGACAAGTGCGTCATGAAGGCCGATGTCAAGGCCTCGAAGAGCAGGCGCGGCGAATCGAAGGGAATGCTCAGCATGACAAAGAGGACGTTCAGCGCCAGCGAAGCCTCCTCCAGGCCGAGCAGGTAGGTGACGATTTCCCCCACCAGCCCAAAAGCCCCGGCGAGGGTGCTGTCGGCGGTTTGCTCCGCATGCACCAGAAGAGGAACATCCTCGGCGAAGCGCTTGTGCACGGCCGCCTCGAAGGAGAGGAATTCGTCTGGCGAACGGGGCGACAGGAGGTCAGTGCCAGAAGGGGAGGCACCAAGCGCGGGGTGGGCGGGCGGGCGCGCGGGCGGGCGGGCGGGCGGGCGGGAACACATGCATACCGGTCCTTGGACAGGCATTGGCCACGGTCAATAGCTGGGCGAACAGCGCTCGGTCGACCGGCTGCCAAGCGGCCGACATGGCTGCAGGGGCCTCGGTCTGGGTGAAGGAGCCCCCGCGCCGACGCAAGGCAGCTCGGCGCAGGGACAAGCACAAGGCCAGCACCCGCAGGCTCAAGGAGACCACCTCCAGCTGCGAGGGAAGCGAAGCCGAGCCGGCAATCTGCGCCAGGAAGCAAAGGAAGCAGCAGGGGAGTCAGGATCGGAGAAGGGGGGTGGACATTGGTCGCGCGGCCATGTCTTCCCCTGCGCCCCTGGTCGCCGTGGCTGGCGGGGGAGGGGGGGGGGAGGGGCGAAGAGAAAGGCAGGCAAAAGCAAGGCGCACGTTTGGTCCAGCCGCGGCGAGGGAGGCGCGTAGGGCGGTGCAGTACTCGCCCAGCAGCCGGGCGCGGCCGAGGTCCAGACTTGGCAGCCATTGGCGGAAGAGGGGAAAAACTCCGCCACCTCAAGTGGGTCTTTCATGGAAGAGAGAATGACGTCCAAGAAATCACACGGGCTCATCAGCGGATAGAGAGCGTGCTGGTTCATGAGCTCCAACTTGTTGTCTGCCAGGCACCGGCGCAGGGGGAAGGGAAAGAGGAGGGGGGGGGGGGAAAGGAGATCAGCAAGGACAGGCGGGGCAAGGGGAAGGGGGGTGGGGGAGACTCGAGGAAGGCCTTTGCAGGGTGGGGAGGGGGGGGGGAGGAAGGGAGGAATCCGGCGCACCATGTGTCAGCAAAAACCGAATGTGGCGACTTTGAAGGATGGCCCCCTGGTAGTAGCTGGATCGCTGGGTGGTGAATGGCGGCGGGATCGTGGGGTTGTGGATGGAGCGTGACACCTCCGGGTGAAGGACCGGCCGCTCGACGGCATCCGACAGCAGAGCCAGCAGGCGGGGGATGATGCCACAGGCGAGAGCCACCTCGAAAAGGAGATCGATCCAGCTGCAGCAGGCGCAACAGGGCGTGAGAACAAAGCAGGCAGAAAGGTGGGGGGGGGGGCGGGGGGGGGGGGGGGGGGGGGGAAAGCGTACCCGAGGTCAAAGAGCATGTTGAAAAAGACCAAGAACGAGGTCTCACTGCTGTCGATGAGGCTGGCATCGGAGGCCACAGTGTCCCCATGCGGCCGACAGAGGCTGATCAGCAAGTTCTTCAGGTCCAGGATGGCCGGGAAGCTCCTGGCTGGGAAGCTGGCAACTGTTGGGGCCCCAAATCCAAAGCGGAAGAATGTCAGCCCGGCCAGTCGGCACAGAGAAGGCGTGGGAGAGGGTGGGAAAGAAAAAAAGGAACCAGGAAGGCAAAGCAGAACGGACAGTCACCAGCCCTAAACTCGGCTGACACAATATCCCCCAGGCCGAGGGACATGGAGGACGACCGGGACCGGGAGTCCCCGGTGGATCCGTCAATGGGGGACATTTCCGGCGAGAGCCGGTCATTGGCACTGGCATCGCCTGCCACAATCGCCAGAATGTTGTCGATGTGCAAGTGCACCAAGATCAAAGAGAGCCGAGTCATTTCCCTGTGTGTGTGTGTGTGTATGCATGAAAAGATGGATGGTTGCGGGTGTCAAAGGGAGAAGGATGGGAGCACAGAAGAGACGAGACAAGGAGAAAGGGCAGAGATGAGGCGTCAGCAGCTTGGCGAGGCATGCGCCGACGAGGAGAGGGTCATGTGTCAGAGCGAGGTCGTACTCGCGCGAGGGGGACTTGAGAGTCAAGCTGCGCAGGCGCATGTTGGCCTCCTCGCTGTCGAAGAGGGACCGCGCGTCGTAGATGTCCCGAAGGTAGCGCAAAGCGCTGGTCCGGTTGTTGGTCATGATCAGGCGGATGGCCACGCTCGATGGTGGGAGACTGGAGCTGGAGTAGAGGAAAAGCGACCGAGGAAGGTGTCCAAGTTGCAGGTGCTAGGGGGGAGACGGAGGGGGGG